TCTCCTCTTATACAACAAAATTAAATCGATGCGTTGAGGTTATCTGTATTTCAGTGGCTGTTATCTTCAAATGTTATACTATTGAGCTTCAATTGATGGAAAAAAGCAATTGGGACTTTTTCTTCTACATGCAGTCCCCAACTTACAACCATTCATTGAATGACTGTTCAAAGCTACAATGGCACTGGAAAAAGTGACTTATGACCATTTTTCACACTTACGACCGTTGCAGCCTTCCCCACGGTCAAGTGATCAAAACTCGGACATTTGGCCACCAACTCATATTTATGGTGGTGGCAGTGTCCCTTTCGTGACCTTTGACAAGCAGAGCCCATGGGGAAGCCAGATTCACTTAACAACCATGTTACTAACTTAACAACAACAGTGACTTCAACTTCACAACTCTGGCAAGAAGGGTCGTAAGACGGGGCGAAACTCACTCAACAAAAGTCTCACTTTGGGGCTCTGTTGTGGTCATATGTTGAGGACTAGCTTGTACACCAGCCGTTTCTATAACCACAAATCTAGAGTAGAATAGGATAGCATAGAATAAACATAGGATAGGATAGGATAGGATAGGATAGGATAGGATAGGATAGGATAGGATAGAATAGAATAAGAGGATAGAATAGATAATTAGAATAGAATAGAATAGAATAGAATAGAATAGAATAGAATAGAATAGAATAGAATAGAATAGAATAGAAAATAGAATAAGAATAAGAATAACATAGAACAGAATAGCAGAGTTGGAAGGGACCTTGGAGGTCTTCTAGTCCAACCCCCTGCCTAGGCAGGAAACCCTACACCACTTCAGACAAAGGGTTATCCAACATCTTTTTTAAAGCTTCCAGTGTTGGAACATCCACAATTTCTGGAGGCAAGTCGTCCCACAGATTAATTGCTCTGTCAGGAAATTTCTCCTTAGTTCTAATAATCTGTCTAATCAGCAAAACCCAACATCAGATTTTAATATTTTTCCCCCCACCTCATTCCCCCCTCCCCCAGTTTTTGCTTGCGAGGAGGCGAGATTTACCAAAGAAAGGAGAGCAGGCATTGCCCTTTTAAGGAGGGAAAGATCCTGATTCCCACCAGAAATGGAAAGAAACAAGAGAGACCCTCTGGCCACCAGACTCAACTACCATTGAAAAACAGCCAAATCTTTGTTCCCCCCTGATCACCAAGTAGGAAGAACACTTAAAGGGAGAGAAAATCCTTTCCTCCCCACTTCTCTTTTTGCAGAAATCTGCCAATTCCAGACCCTCTTCAGACAAGCATCCACTGCCCTGCATTTCCAATCCGGAATGTTGTGTATGTGCGTGCGTGTGTTTTGTGTGTGTGTGTGTGTGTGTCCTTCTGGGTGTGTGTGTTTAAGTTGTTTGTTTCTAGCTGGCCGAGTTTTTGGCCAAGCGTACGCTGTACAATCTAGCAGCAAAAAAAAAAAAAAAAAATTAACACACTCAATGGAGTTTTTATACATTACTCAGGATAAATTATGACCCTTGGCAAAATCCCATTTTAGCTATTCCCTGGGAATGCAAATGAAAGTCCAACAGTTCGCAGGGCATTGACAGAAAAAAAGAACCACCCCGTTTGAAAACACAAAATCCCAAAGAATTTTTTTTAAAAAAAAATCCAATCCAGCTGAATAACTAAGCCAGTCCTTTTCCAAGACAAAAGGGGAACAGATTCATAGTTCTCACCCCTCCCTGAGCATGGGGGTGAGAGAGAAAGCAAAAGAGAAATTGGGAAAGACAGAGATGAGGGAGGGAGGAAGAAACAGAGAGAGAGAGAAGAAAAGGAGAAAAAGGAAAAAAAGAGAGAAAGAGAGAGAGGTTTTCTTTTAAAAAACCTTTAAACGCTTCCAAAATATGCCCATATATGTAATAACAATAAGATAGGTAGAAAAAAAAAGTAAGCAATAATTTGGTTGGCTCTATGTATTTGTAAAAAATAAAAATAAAAAAGGTTTTGGGAACAAATCTGGCAACTTTGTGTCCTTTGTTTGGCTGTGTGCGTTTACTTGCTTAGCTTTCTTTGAAGGCAGAGTATTAATTTGCCCACAACCAATTGCTTTGCATTCGGATTTGCACCAGAAGCACAAAAGCTTTTCCCTAACAATGGACAGTCCAAATTATCCTTCTTGGAGCTACTGGAGGTGAATGCAAAATGAGCCCGAATGAAAAGGTGGCTGGAATATTTTGGCACACTGGAATCTAAGGAGAAGTTGACCCTTCTTTGAAAGTTTCCAAAGGGTGTTATGAAAGCTACTGGTAAGAGTGAGGGGTTGGGTTTTTTTTTTTTTCTGTTAATGCAAAGATATATTTTTTAAATTAATTAATTAGGCAGGAAAGACAAACGAATGGAAACCGCAATGGCAGAATTATAGAACTGGCCTAAGCTTGGCAGAGAGAACAATGATTGACCGGAGCTAAGTCCACACTAAATTGCGTGGGAGACATATAAACACACCATGTTTGTTTGCCAGCTACAATCTCCTTTTCCAATCCATCCTGGACAAACTATGGATTTGCATCCATTGTTAAGAAATCTCTCCGTTCCAACCTTCACAAAATAAACTGGAAAAAGAGTGGCAATGCAAGGAACATGCTTTGAGGTTAACTATTTTGCTGATCTGGAAAAGGGACCTCAAAATACTTTACGACCCCCATTCAGCTGCCAAATTTCTGTTGCTAAGCAAGGCAGTTGTGAAGTGAGTGTTGCCCCATTTTACGACCTCTTCTTGCCACTGGTTGTTAAGCAAATCGCTGTCATTGCTAAGTTAGTAACACGGTTGTTAAGGTGAATTCCCCATGGACTTTGCTTGTTAGAAGGTCACAAAAGGGACACTGCCACCGTCATAATTTTGAGACAGCTGCCAAGCCAGCTGCCAAGGGTCTGAATTTTGTTTGCGTGACCGTAGGAGTTCCGTAATGGTCGTAAGTATGAAAAACGGTCATAAGTCAGGTTTTTTTCAGTGCTGTTGTAACCTTCGCTAAATGAACGGATGTCAGTCGAAGATTATCTATAGTTTGAAAGCCCTTAAAAAACAATTCCAATGGGAACATTTCTTAATCAGGCAACTCCTTTCCAAGGCAAAGCTGTGTACCCCAAGTTTGGTACACTCCCAGTCTGTGGGTGCATGGCTATTCCACAGTTCACTTCCATAGTTTTTTTACCCCCCCCCCCCCCACCCAAAGAAAAACACACAGCTGGCGAACAGTACAATCAATTTGATTTCCATCTGTTTCCTCTAGCTAAATTGGAACACTAGCATTGTTTTTTTTTTTTTTCCTAAAGATAATCCTCAAAGGTTTGTGGGTTTTGGGGGTTTTTTTGGATCACTTTTGGATGAGCAAGCCAATGTTTAGGAGTTAAGGAAGTTGGTCCGTTTTGGTTTTAATCTTTCATTGACAGAGTAGAGAGAAAAGGTGAGACATCCCATCCCAAGTCTCAGGGACAGGTCAGGTTTAAAAATAAAAATGGGGATTGATGCATCCAAAAATGTGTAGAGATCCTCAGTCATCCAGGTCGTGGTTGCTGTCCCAAAGGTGCTTTTTTTCTGTCAGGAGGCAACTGGACTTTCTGGGTTTGTTTTTTTTAAAAAAATTCCTTTTGGAAGACATTTCACTTCTCATCCAAGAAGCTTCTTTTCAAAAGAAAAAAACAAAACAAGAAAGCCCAGTTGCCTCCTGAAAAAGCACCTTTGGGTTCGACCAGCCCATGGAACAGAAGTTGCCCTCGGAAGTTGTGGGAGCACCATCACTTGAGACTTTCAAGAAGAGATTGGACGCCCATCTGTCAGAAATGGTGCAAGGTCTCCTGCTTGGGGGAGGGGGTTGGACTAGATGACCTCTGCAAGGTCCCTTCCAACTCTGATTGTTTTGTTTTGGGTTCCCTGGGGGTGGGGGGGGGGGGTTTCCTCTAAGGCTCCCAAAACTCAGCAGGGCAGAAGTCAAAAAGCCCCACCGGGGCTTCCCTTCGAGCGCTCCCATTCGCACCGCGCGCTTCCCGAAGGACCAAACCGGCCACGTTCACACGATCCGCTCAACTTCAGCTTCATATTAAGCGCGATTAGTCGGGAGGGGAGAGAATTCACGCGCGATGAGAAAACCCAGCCTCCCTCCACACACACACACCCCTCCCAAGACTCGTTTCAGGACGGACCGAGGGCGAATTGCACTCGACTAGCCCCTTTCAGGATGTCGTGTGAACTCCAAAACCGCGAAAGACTCCCGGAGGGCACAACTGGGGTGACAAGAGGCGGCTCGGGAAAGCCTCGCCAACCTTTACAAGACAGCCCTTCCCGGAGGCGGCGGAGGCGGGGAGTTCGAATCCCAGTCGCCTAAAGGTTACAATGGTTGTAGGGTCTTCCCGCTTGGGCGGCGGGTTGGACTAGATGACCTACAAGGTCCCTTCCAACTCTGATGATCTGTTATCTATTTAGGATGGGAACTGTAGTCCCGCGCGCCTGCGGAACGCACTGCCCCAGGAGCATAGGATCGGGTCAACATGTAACAGATAACCAGAGTTGGAAGGGACCATATAGGTCATCTAGTCCAACCCCCCCCCCCCCCCCCCCGGGAGCCCCTACACCATTCCTGACAAATGGCAGTCCTCCCCCCGCCACGCCAAAGACGCGCAGCCCCCCCCCCTCCACGCTTACCAGCTGTAAAGTGCAGAGGAAGATCAAAGTACATCGCCCGGTGCAACATCCCATCTTGGCTCTTTTCCTCCTCCGCCTGGAGGGATGGACCGATCCCCGCGTTGGCTGCGGGCGCGGATTTCACCAAGCTGCGCCCGCAAGAGCCCCCATGGCTCGGCTCCGGCGTTTGCTCGGCTTGGGAGAGAGAGAGGGAGAGAAGTGACCGGGGGAAAGAGCCGGAGAAGCGGCCGCAGCGAGGCTCAGCCTTTGCCTTTCCTAGCGGTCTTCCCTGGGAAACAAACAGCCCGGGCTGCGCTCCGCGAAACAGCTGCTTGGTGACGCTTTGGGGAAAGAGCTCCGCTCGCAAACTCTTCCTCGGATGAAAAGGGAGGGAAGGGGGGAGAGAGGGAGGGGGAAGGAAGGAGGGGTGGGTAGGTGGGCGAGCCCCCCCC